ATGGTCACTTAATTTTGAACTTATTCTTTATTCCTCACCCTTCCCCGTTTCAGATATTTTGTATCATAGTTTATATCCTTTTATTTTGTGCTTCTCTTGACTGATTTTTACAGATATACTTAAAAAAATTTTTTTTTGCTTTCATGCTTCTATTTTTCTTACTTTCACTCAGTTGTTGTTGTTGTTGTTGTTTCTTAGAGTACCCCTTAACATTTCTTAGAGGGGTGGTTTAATGGTCATGAATTTTAACTTTTGTCTGCAAATGCTTTCTCTCTCTTTTTATTCTAAATAATAGCCTTGCTGAAGAAAGTATTCTTTCTGCATATTTTTACTTTTCAGCATTGAATGCATCATGTCACTTTCCTCTGGCTTGTGAAGTTTCGGCTGAAAAATCAACAAATAGCCTTATGGGATTTCCTTTGTATCTGCTTTCTTTTCTCTTGGAAACGTTAAAATTCATTCTCTATCATTTTTTTTTTTTTTTTTTTGCCATTTTAATTACTACATGTCTAGGTGTGGATTGCCTTGGGTTGAATCTGTTGGGGGAATCTCTTTGCCTCCTGAATCAGGATCTCTGTTTTCAATCCCAGATTTGGGAAGTTTTCAGCTATTATTTCTTCAAATACATTTTCTCTCCCCCTTTCTCACGCTTCCGGCATCCCTCTAACTTGAATGTTATCTGCTGAGGTCTCTAAGTCTAGTCCCATTATGCAGGATTTGTTTGTCACCTGTTTAGCTTGATAGCTTTCCATTCCTCTATCCTCAGGTCACTGATCTCTTCCTTTGCTTCTTGTAGTCTACTACTTATTCCATCTATAGCACTTTAATTTCATGTATTAAGTTCCTTATCTCTGATGTGTTATTTTTTAATCTCTTTGTCAGGGGTCTCATTGATGTCCTCCATGGTTTCCCAAGCACAGTGAATATCTTGATTATTACTTCAAATTCTGTCTCAGGCATATTGTTTCTGTTTCACATAGATCTTTTGCTCTGATTTTGTCCTATTCTTTCATTTGGGACATATCTCTCTTGTCTCTTCATTTTGTCTACCTCTCTGTGTCTGCTTTTCCTGTCTGTTAAGGTCAGTCAACTAGGTCTTCTGCTCTTGTGAGTAGTGGTTTTAGGAAGAAGAGGTCCTGTAGGGCCCTGCAGTGCACTGTCTCCTGTTCACCAGAACCCAGCACTTCAGGGGAGTCTCCTATGTGTGTTGCTAGTGTCCTGCTCTTGTGTCTGAGTCCCTTTACCTTTCAGCCCAGCTGTCTGCATGGATTTTCTGCCTATTGTGGCCAGTTCTTACTCTCTGTGATGTTAGTGAGAACCAAGCATGCAGGGTCTCAGGAGGCATGACCACAGGACTCAGGGGCAGGGCAGCATTGAGCTGCTGGTCCTACTTTGTATCCTGTGCAGCCCGGTGGCTGCTGGGAGCATGATGCATGGTCATGGTGTTGGTGGCCGGGACAGGCGGTGTCTGTGTGCATTGCAGTTGGGTGGGGCCTGCACAGCATTAACCAAATTGGTACTGAGCCCAGGGCCCAGGCCAGCATGTCTGGAGTGGGTGAGTCCTCAGAAGAACTCATGGGCAGAGCATATTGCTAGCAGGGTAAGTGGCAAGTGTCTGTGCAGTGCCACCTCCCTCAGGTGGCTCTGTGTATGCTGCCGGCTCCTTTGTTCCCAGAGAAGTTCCCCCAACTCTCTCTGAAATTACCGTAAACAGATCTCCCTGCTGTTGTGCAAACTGTGGCTTCTATGTTGACTTTCCCTGGGCTATTGTCTCTTTAGGGGTAGAGACCCAGCTACCACTGGCTATCCTGGCTCGCTCACTGCTCAGTCAGCTGACTTTTAAAGCTCCAGGCCCCAAGTCCCACTGGTTATATAGACTCACAGAATTCAGCCCTTCTTGGTTTCAAGGCCAGATATTATAGGGATTCATTTTCCCTGTGCGGGCTTCTTTGGGTTTTCCCCTCTCTGTGTCCATGGAGCCCTACAGCTTCTTCTCTCCTTTGGTCAACTTCCAACTACTATTTCAGCCCTTACTAACCTCTCCGATTTCTAACCTCTCCAATGCGGCAGCTTCTCTACATTTAGTTCTGGGGTTTGTTCTGCCAGTCCTCGGTTCGCTCTCCAATTCATGTTCTTGGATATGAGTGATAACTAGTTGTAAATGTAGAATGAGATGCACTCAGGGTCCTCCTACTCTGCCAACTTTCCAAGCCTCTTTTTTTTTTTTTTTTTTTAAATATTTATTTGACAGAGAGAGAGATCACAAGTAGGCAGAGAGGCAGGCAGAGAAGCAGGCAGAGAGAGAGGGGGAAGCGGGCTTCCTGCCGAGCAGAGAGCCCGATGTGGGGCTCGATCCCAGGACCCTGAGATCATAACCCTGGCCGAAGGCAGAGGCTCAACCTACTGAGCCACCCAGGTGCCCCCCAAGCCTCTTTTTTGATCATAGCTGATTTCTTTATATTTCCCTTTCCTACCTCAAGGCTAAATAAACTTTAAGGTAAAGTTCATAAAATTCAGAACATTTGGGAAGAAGAGTTTGCTAGTGTACTCTCTGAAATGACTAATGATGGTCTGTTTTCTCCTATTTGTGAGAATCTTTTTTTTTTTTTTTTTTTTTTTGGAGCTTGTCCTTTTGTATTTATGTTTTCAGTACTTCAGCAAGATATTTTAAGCTGGAGCTGGGGTAGAATAATTCTCAAGACTTAGGGAAAGTTTAATTTCATAGCCTATGCAACAGCAATGAACATTCCAACCCTTGCCCTTGCTTTAACAGAGAATCAGAGGGTTATCTTATGGTTTGTTAGGAATCATCCTCCATGCCCTGTGAGTGGAGGGGATGCCACGATCATTTACAGAGCTGCTTTTCTTTGGGGAGGTTTTGTTCTAGTTTACCTTAGCTCATTACTGATTCATGAGTTGCTATTTTGGCTAAAGAATGATGGAGGAGCAGTATTAGCTGAGAGGCTAACAAAATTCGCTGCAGACTCTTCCACCATCTCTATCCTTATGGGACTTGCTATAAAGAACCCTACTCAAAACTTTCTTCTCCTCCATCCATCCCCATGAGTGCTTTTTTCCTATTAAGGTCCTCTGGTAAAAAGGACTGCATTCACGGTTCATGTCTCTGTCATTTGCTCTTTACAAGGTGCTCTGCTGTTATCAAGCACCAGTCCATAAAATGTTTTAGGTTTTTCTACTCCTCACTGGCAGTTGGTTTTGACTCAGTGGGGAGCAAGGACTCCCTTCAACACTTCTAGCTCAACTGGAGTCTTTGACTCAACTGCAGAGCAGTTTAGCTTTGAAGGCTCTTTGGCTGTATCATTAGACCAGTTTGTAATGATTTTATGGCTCGCCCAAGATATGCTGAAACCATTATTCTGAAAGTGGACTTGGAGTTCTCTTGGTAGATAGGTGTTTTGTTTATTGAGTCTTACCACTTTAAAATTAGCAGTGGCTTTTTCAAGCGTAATACTAGCTAATCTCAGCAGATTTCTGAGGTGTTATTTCTCTAATAGAAGCATTGACTTGTTTATTTAGAGATTGTACTTGGAACCCAGCAGATAAGGGAGTAGTACAGATAGTCCTCGGTAGATATCTTGGTACATGTGATAGATAATAGAGTCGGAATTGTTAGCCTACAGAAGCCAAGTACAAACTACTATTTTGCATGTGTTACTCTGCTCTTATATTGGATAAATCTGAGCTTGCATAATCCAAATCAGGAAGAGTGTTTTCCTGGTCCATTAAACTCTGGGTTATTTTGGGACTTTTGTTCAATTCTATAACACTAAATATTGATAGTTAAAAATACAGAGATGGCGCCTGGGTGGCTCAGTGGGTTAAAGCCTCTGCCTTCAGCTCAGGTCATGATCTCAGGGTCCTGGGATCGAGCCCCGCATCGGGCTCTCTGCTCAGCGGGGAGCCTGCTTTCTCCTCTCTCTCTCTGCCTGCCTCTCTACCTACTTGTGATCTCTGTCAAATAAATCAATAAAATCTTAAAAAAAAAAATACAGGGGCGCCTGGGTGGCTCAGTGGGTTAAGCCGCTGCCTTCGGCTCAGGTCATGATCTCAGGGTCCTGGGATCGAGTCCCACATCAGGCTCTCTGCTCAGCGGGGAGCCTGCTTCCCTCTCTCTCTCTCTGCCTGCCTCTCCGTCTACTTGTGATTTCTCTCTGTCAAATAAATAAATAAAATCTTAAAAAAAAAATACAGAGATGTGGGGCACTTGGGTGGTTCAGTGGGTTAAAGCCTTTGCCTTCGGCTCAGGTCATGGTCCCAGTGTCCTGGGATCGAGCCCCACATCGGGCTCTCTGCTCTGCAGGGAGCCTGCTTCCACCTCTCTATCTGTCTGCCTCTCTGCCTGCTTGTGATCTCTGTCAAATAAAATCTTTGAAAAAAAAAAATAGAGATGTATGGGGCACCTGGGTGGCTCAGTGGGCTAAGCCTCTGCCTCCGGCTCAGGTCATGATCTCAGGACCCTGGAATCAAGCCCTGCATGGGGCTCTCTGCTCAGCGGGAAGCCTGCTTCCCCCCCCCCCCTGCCTGCCTCTCTGCCTACTTGCGATCTCTCTCTGTCAAATAAATAAAATCTTTGAAAAAAAAATTTAAAAAAATTAAAAAAAAATAGAGGTGTACATTTACATCTATGCTGTGTATACCTAAACCTTCTATAACATTTGTGCCCAAGAGTTATTTAATTAGTTTGTCTGATAGCAGGTTAATGGGGGAGTGTCGGAGACCATGGAAGAGGGTTGCAATAGCAAATCACTGCACACAAAAGCACCTTTTTTCAGCATCACCTTGATTTATTTTCCTAGTCTTTTTTTTCCTCAGAAGGAAAAATAATTTCATCAAGAAAACAAATGTTCCTGCCAAAGTGAATTTCTTTTAATGCTTTTCTTAAAAAAAAAAGAAAAAAGAAAAAAAAGCAACATTGAATTAGGGCTTCCTGTGCCCCCTCCCCCCATTTTGCTAACCAAAGTTTTTTTTTTTCTTTTTTAATCCGTTGGCAGAAAACAAGATATTTTCCTCAGATAGGATGATTATAGTTTATTGCTGTTTTGTTTAGTATGTATGTTTTTCTCAATTGGGAAAAAAAAGTCTAGGTGAAAAAATTAACAAGAAAAGTAGTTTACATGGTCATAACACTTAATTGCTGGCAAAAGAAAAAAAAGTAAAAAAAAAAATTTAAATGTAAAATACCACATAACTCCAAAAAAACTTACCTCAGTTTTCTACCATGTATCATGTACTATAAGTCAACTTTCTAAGTAGGATTACAGTCCTTTATTATAAGCCCCTAGTGGTCCTATGGTATACATTAAAAAAAAAAAAAAAACACTACTACAAAATTTTTCTGTTTTTTGTTTTTGCCTATCGTGTACTTAAGCTATAGATAACTGTTGAATAAAAAGCCTACATAGGTATAAATGCAATAGTTAACTGATCCTGTTTGCTGACGTCCTTTTCGTGTTCCACAGAAGGCAGCACCCATTAGTCCAGCATCTTCTCCTGTTTCTTGCCTTCCTTTTTCTTCTTCTTAGATTCTGCTGTGATGAAAAAGAGGAAAAAAAATCATCACGTTAGTAAACAATGGGGGTACTTTTCTTTGACAGTCAACCCTAGAACAATGCTTGGGATTTTCAACCCTCCATGCGGTTGAAAATCTGCATGTAACTTCTTATCCCCTCAAACTTAACTATTAATAGCTTACTATTGCTTGGAACCCTTACTAATAACATACATAGTTCATTAACACATTTTGTGTATACATTATATACCGTATTCTTAAAATAAAGGGAGCTAGAGAAAAAAATGCTATTGATATAATACTGTATTTATTAAAAAAAAAATTCACATCTAAGTGGACCCAAGCAGTTCCACCCCTCATTTTTCATGGGCCAACTGTCATCATCCGTGAATGAAATGATGAGATGGAGGGACAAGGCGCATGTGTGCGTGAACTTGCTTTTGCCAGGAGAGTGCACTAGGAGTGCCTAGTGCAGGCAGGAGGGGTACAGCCTTCCTTCATGCGGACACCTGTAGATGCCTGTCATCTTATTGGTTGCTCCCATTTGGTATTTAAAATACTGTCTGAGGGTCCTACTTAGAAAAGAAAAACAGGGCAGACCTCTGTGAGAGAACACACCAGGACACTCACTGCTCAGTGGAGAGGTATAAAAGCTCTGCTTAGCCCCCTCACTCCCCATATGCCCTTCCCATGGGGCTGTTAATAAGCACTTTTCCTGCCAATTTCAAAGTGCCTTTTCTCCTGATTTGCTCTTTGCTTATATATTCGCCAGCGATCCGTATCTGAAGGACCAGCTCTGAACCACATGGAGCTTTGACTCTATAGTCTTCTCGCCTTGGATGAAGCAAATGGAATGTCCCAACTTGAGCTAAACTGGGTAAGTAAAACCATGAGGATTTTTTTTTTTTTTTTAAGATTTTATTTATTTGACACACAGAGAGATCTCAAGTAGGCAGAGAGGCAGACAGAGAGAGAGGGCAAAGCAGGCTCCCCGCTGAGCAGAGAGCCCGATGCGGGGCTCGATCCCAGGACCCTGAGATCATGACCTGAGCTGAAGGCAGAGGCTTTAACCCACTGAGCCACCCAGGCGCCCCAACCATGAGGATTTAAATTGAAACATCCTGTCCTTTTCCATTCAATCATCATGCTGTCTCCCTTTTCCTAGGCCAAAGAGAATGCAGTGTGAACAGGGCTTGTCAGCGTGGGCTCCAAAGATGAGAACAGTCAGAATCGCTAGGCTAGCAAGTGAAAGGCTATTGCTAAATGTTTTTAAGATCCTTCCCCCTGTCTGGCCCACAGTAGTGGTAGAAACAGAGGGGTGAGGTACGGGCTCTGGAGTTGGACTGCCGGCGTGTGAGTCCTGGCTCCACCACTAAGCCAAGCTCCACCGAAAGCCAGTCGTGTTATTTGTCTCAGATCTCTCACCTGTGAATGGGCATATGAATTGTACCACTTTATAGGGTCAATATCCTCATTAAATGAGTTGTAGAAAATTCCCTGAGAACAGAACATGGTTTAACAGCCTGTTCTCAATAAAGGTTAGTCTATTATCACCCTAATGAAACCTGCTAAGAACAAGAGGCCATTTCTTACTAATTTTTCTTACTAAGAGGCCATATTATTACTATTCTTCATCATCCCCAAGACACACTGACTGAGCAGGTACCTGAATGTGCTGAGTGACAGAAGAATACTGGGACAATAATCATGGCAAGCAGGCCCTGTTCACTGGATCACAGGGCCTGTGTCCAAGAGGGACCTAGGGAACGTAATGCCAAACACATACATTGTAAAACCCAAACTTATACCTAGGCACAGCCTGAACCCTTTTTTCCCCCTAATCCTCCTCATTTCTTCTGATAAGATTGAAAGCCCATTATTTACTAGGTGAAGTAATATTTCCATACAAAGTAATTGTCCTACGCTCCTTACTCAAGCTTCAAGAGGGCATCACACAAAATTACTCCAGGAGTTGCTAACGTCCTGCTAAATTGCTGTTCGCAAGCTTTCACTTTGTTCATGCCCGTCCTTCCCGTTCCACCTAAACTGAAGAGACTTAAACTTTCACTCTGTTTTTGCTTGTCTTTATAAACGTCCCCTCCTTTGGACCCATGAAAGGTAAGATGACCAGAACTTCCAAGTTCAAAGATACCTATAAAGTCAAATTCTGTTTTCTGTTTTATTTCTGAATAGTCAGTGTCTTAACATTTAATAATTCCCAGTCTTTGGTTGACATTTTAAACCACAGCTGTTTTAGAAAGGTATCCTCAGAGAATAATCTGGGATGTCAGCTGGAGTACAATTCTAGTCTCTCTGATCTCAAATTCTCCAAATCCCCTAGTGGGGAATGCCCATAGTTTAAATTCACTAATTAACAACTTGCTAAATACCAAGAAATCAACCAATTGCCCATTTAATCTGTACAATGCCAATCAGACAGTTTTCTTTTTGACACTGCTGGCCAGTCATCTGGGCATTCCTTTGACACACTGGAGACCTTAAGACCACTCTGGGTTCAAATCTAAGTAGAAAGTAGTGGGAAGAAGGATTAAATTCTATTTGCATGAGGTCAGTTTGGTTTCTCACATAAAAAAGTATTCAAATTCTGAGAATAAGGAAGAAACTTAGGAAGAAACTTAGGTTGGTAATATTGCTTCCAAACAAAAGCATTTTTTTTTTTTGGTGACTTATGTACATTTTACAGGCAGACTATACGAATGTTGTCACTACTTGTCTCCGTGGCCTCAAAAACTCAGGAAAGCCTCTCAGGCTTTACCCACTCTACATGAGGGTGTTTTTTTAATATTTTATTTACGTATTTATTTGAGAGAGGGAGAGAGCACAAGCAGGGGAGAAGCAGAGGTAGAGGGAGAAGCAGGCTCCTGGCTGAGCAGGGAGCCCAATGTGGGACTCAGTCCCAGGACCCTGGGATCACCACCTGAGCTGAAGGCAGAGGCTTAATGACTGAGGCACCCAGGTGCCCCTCTACATGAGGGTTTTTAAATAGTATCATCAAATCTACAATCTGCAAAGAACCTAGTCCATCTGCCCTATGTAGGTGCTGAAGAAATGGAGTCCAAAAGAGTGTTAGTCATTCCTCAAGGTCCACCTCGATCTGGCTGTAGAATCAAATGAGCAGCCATTCTCTGACCTCCTCCCACAGCTTCCGTTGCTCATCCATCTCTAGTAAATGCAGTTGGTCTTGTTCTGCACTCGTCTCTTAGCCGTCACTCAGATCCCCTCCCTTGGCTTGAGTCTCTACCCTTCTGCCTATTTCAGTTCCTGGAACACATCATTCTTTTTCTCCCCTAGTCTTTGCCCTTCAAAGCTCCTTTTCATTCCGTCAGGTCTGCACTCCCCCCACCACCTCCGTCTGGTTAATGCCTCCCATCCTTTAGGTACCAGTGTTGACACCAACTTCTAGTTGGTTCTCTGCTTGGTCTGCGTTAGAAGCCTTCTCTCTGTATCTCTGCTCTCAGAGCACTGACTGTTCATACTGTAGTCGCCCCTAAGCGTAAGCTATGTGAGGGCAGAATCCTGCCCCACTGTTCCTTCCCGAGCCGCCAGCACAGGGCCTAGTGCGTGACAGCTGACTGGCAGCTCCTCGGTGAGGTACATAAATCTCTCCCATGACAAGAACTCCTGCCTCACTGGCTCACCATGGCTTCCTCTTCCTGACGGTGCTTCCTTGAGGTTTCTTTGCTTATTTTCACCTCAGCCAAATGACTGAATTGTGTCAAAAATTGTCTCAGGGTGTCAAAGGAATGCCCAGATAAAGAATGCCCATTATGCACGGCATTCTCTTCTTCCGCTCTTCCTCCTACCCCCTCAGCCTCGCTTAGCCAACATCGGCTCATCCTTGAGACCTTCGTTTCGACTTCAGTTCCTTAAGGAAACCTGCCCAGAACCCCCAAACTAAGCAGGTTCCACCCACAGTCAGACACTTCCATGTGCCTCTTACTGCTCTTAGAAAATTCATTGTTCAATTCTAATTTCATACCTAATTAATCTACGTTTCTCTCTTCCTGTGAGGGCAGAAGACCGTATCTATCATTTACATCGGTGTCTTAGTGCCTGGCACATGATAGGTGCTCATGAAGTATTTGTTGCCTAAAAGTGAAGAAATGAACACGTGGATGGGAAACAGTCAATTCATTCGTATTTCTCGAGGAGAGTAAGGAGTGCAGTCAAAATCTTGCACTATTTCAGTATCTCCTTAAAGCTATTTGATGAAGAAGAAAATTACAAACATACATCCATGAACGCTATCCAGGTTTCTCAACCCTTTAAAGCTCTTGTCTTTAAAATAGAAGACTGAATTAACTCTGTGAGAGAGTTCTGTCCCATCTTAGCAGCCCATCAAGGTTACAGGGAGAGAAATCTGCTGTGAGCATGAGGGTCATGAATAGGCTTGCAGCAGGGCTATACCAGCGTAAGCAAGTGTTTTGTGACAGAGTCACACAGCGGCTACTCTGAAAGGTTTTAAGAGCCGCTGTGATCGGTATCCTGACGTCAAACAGCCGGACACCGTAGTTCCCAGTGAAAAGAGCCAAGACAACGGAAGGAAGGACACACATGCCGCACATGAAATAACACCCCAGGATCCATGTCACTCTTCCCCACAGGGGCTGAGGCTGTGAAACTCAAAGGGATGCCAACAGGAAGTGAGCCACTGTGGACATGTGCGCTCAAAGGGCACCTGCCTGAAAAGTGGCTTGTTCTGTTCCCTTGGATGATCCCTCCTGGGACCTCACTGCATGAACACTCACAGGGGTGCCCTTGGTGTGTTTTCCTTTCCTAGGTTTATAAAGACTTTCATTCTTTTTTGGCCACTTTTTGAGGTGATGGAGGATAGTAATCCTTCTTTTCTCCTGATATGTGTGTATTTCATGTTGCTCAGAAAGAAACAGGTTGCTTTGTTCAAGATATATTTGAAAGTGTTCAGAAAGTCCTAAGACTTTCCTTAAGGAGGAACACTCCAGAAAGGATTCGGGTTGCTCACATGGCTATGAGTCACCT